TCTGCGTTTTTTGGTCCAAACCGCATTCAAAAAGCTGTAACCGTTGCCGAAATATAGCAGTTTGAATTTTGCACGATTTTCCAACTTTGACCCCCCGCCCCCCCTCTTGTAATTATTTTTGGGGGCTGAAATTTTCAGGGATTACTATTGGCATATAGGCCTATCAAAATCCGAAGTTTGGTTGAAATCTGAGGGTGGGCGGATTTTGCCGTTTTTGCACAGACCTCTTTTATATGTCTATTGATGGCCTCTTTTTCTTACATTTTTAAAATTTTCCTGAAAAATCCCTGACTGAAGATATTTGGAGCAAGTAAAAGTTGAAAAAGTTCCAACAGCACTAGTGCATTTTGTACATTTTCTTGGATATCTACTTTTTTCATGGAGCAAAAGTGTAATTTTTAACAGAATTTTAATATATTATGTGTTCCAAATGTGGAGCTGGATCACTCCTTGTAATGCCCATGTTACTCAGACGAATAGTTATCCCAGTAAATAATTATGAAAATGAAATGAAAGTAACAGAAGAAATTCAGCAACGCTGTAATTAACTTTTTCCACTTTTACTCTAATTGTCTTACTTATTAGGAAAGGTATACTTATGTTTAGTATACTTCAAAATAATTTATAAAAAAATTAAAATCTAATTCCCTTTGAGCAGCAAAAAATGCAACTGCAATTATCTCTGCTAGTTCGAGGAGCGATGAGGGGGGGGGGNCCCCCCCCCCCCCCCCCAAGATAAGACCAATGTTGAAGCAGAACCTCAGATGTAAATCTTCAAGTAGTCAATTTCTGAAGTAAATTGTAATTTTAGACTTTGATAAGAGGTGCAGCTATAAAATGTGGGTGAGGAGGGGGAGGGTGGAGGGTCTATAAAGATAAATGAGATTTCAGAGAGAGTAAACTATGATTTGAAAGGAAAGTTTTGTGAGAAAAGCCTTTTTCTAACTTTATCAAAAGCGAGATGCATCAACACATTCTGTCCTTTTAGAAGGACATTACCGAGACCAAGGTAATGCATAGACACATACCGTCCTCTAAAAAGGACATGGTCTATCTCATAAAAATAGGCTCTTGAATTTTTTTTTTTTTTTTTAAAAAAATTTCAAAAAATACAAGGAAAAATAAGTGATGGTCAAATATTTTTTTCCCTTCAAACTGAAAAATGGTGTGTCAACGGGTTAACCGAGATATCGCCCTTTGAAAAGTCAGGTCTTTGACGTCATCCACCGCGGAAACCCTTGGTTTCTTCCACCTCGCTTTCATCAGAGTTTCAATTTTAGTAACCAGTGCAAATGTGCGTCACACTGACTGATGAAAGCAAGGTGGAAGAAACCAAGGGTGTCAACACCGCGGTGGATGACGTCAAAAACTCGACTCTTCAAATGGCGACATCTCGGTCGGTATTGATCATAGAAAATTGCTGTTTAGACACAAAACCGTCTTGAGTTTTACTCTCATTCACTGTAAAATTGTAAACAGAAACTTTCCTTGAAAATTCGGCGAAAAATTGGCGCTACTGCTGAGGTTAGACTGATTTTCTCAAGTGATTTCTCAACGGAGACAGACTTGTCGTTTTTTTTCTTAATTTATTCAGATGGCACCAAACGTAAATTTATTCGACCTGTTCAACAAAAGAAATATGGACAATGCGTTGAAAAAAGACCGCAGGGTCAAGAGGCTGCAGGCGGAGGTGGCCAAAAGGAAAGGCTTAAAAATTGCGGCCTACAGTGGAAGTTTACTTATAGAAGAAAATTTGACGGTGGATAAAGCGACACAATTGGTCTGCGACCATCTGGATGAAAATAATCGAGAGAGGTCCAGATCTGTTCTTGATAAGGATTCAAGAAAAGCCGTGAACAAAAGCCTCAAAGAGGAAACTAATGGAGAGAGGTCCAGATCTGTTCTTGATAAGGATTCAACAAAAGCTGTGAACAAAAGCCTCGAAGAGGAAACTAAGCAGCATACAGGATCAAATCCAGGCTGCAATTGTTCGTATGAAACATGTTCAACAAACATGTTCTCGCTGAAACAATGTCCAAGCAAGATGACTGTAGATCCTAAGCAGCATACAGGATCAAATCCAGGCTGCAATCGTTCGTATGCTTCCTCGCTGAAACAATCTCCAAGCAAGATGACTGTAGATCCTGCTGGCGTTGCTGAGGTAATCCATTCGTTGTTGCCTTCGTTGTTGCCCCAAATCATAGAGGGGGGGGTGGTGGCGACAATGCAAAAGGCCAAGTGATGCGGTGCACTGTTACAGTAATGATTTAGCCATTCGGTTTTGGTTGAGTCGGATTCCTCCTTATTGGTATTGCACTGTACTACCATTATATTGTTAACTATTTTCTGGTTATTTATATTAATTATTTGCAATGTTTTACTATAAGGGATTAGTGATTTATCTTCAGTGTCGTTCAGTATCCCCACCTCTAATACTTCATCAAATTCAGTGTTGCCCGGTTTCCCAGTTAGTAATCAATAATTTCAATTTCAATCAATGAAGTTTATTTGTTCAGTATCACCTCCATTTATTCTGTTTTTCGATGAATACTTCTGATAACAATTGGTTAAAATTTATAGTTTTAAGAAGTTTATACTTTGCTTAATCTCTTATTTTTTGTATCTTACTTATCACTTCCTGGATTTCACAAGAAACCAGTTAAAAGTTTTAGCGCATAGCTTTGACTTGAAGCTCTTCTTTAATGCTAATTTCAGTAACTTTTATTAGTCCAGTCAAACTAGACCAAAAAAGGGGTCTACCTTGCAAATTTTGCGAAAAACTTTCTGACACATGTTTCCTATGTGTTTTTTAGCGCTGAATCCGAATCTGAACTTTGCTACCTTCGATTTTTGCCGCTAAAGCCGCCATCTTGAAAAAACGTTGCCAAATCTCATTTTTTGTCCAAAAATCGCTAATAACTCGTTCCCTGTGCGTCGGACGGCAAAATGAGTTATTTGCAGAATGAAAGTACATAAAATTTTGGTTTAGAATCATGTATCAAAATTATGATAACATGCGTATACCATCCGCCAGAGCGCGCTGAAAATAGCGGGAAATTTGAAAAAATCGCAATTTTTTGCGGTTTTCTCAAATATCTTTTTTCTTAGCGGTTTTTCGGGAAAAATGGTTACCACAGAAATTAAAGTAGACAAAAAATGCTACCAGAATCACTCTTAGTTTTTACACTAGCGATACTTTTAACAGGAACTAGGAGCGCTTGAAGTCGGAGACTCGCACGGCCGAAATCGGCTGTAGCGCCGCATCACGGTTCTACCTTATAAGGACCGTTTTATGGTTTCCCTAACGTTTAATTTTGCTTTAAGGCATTACATCTCGCTTATAATTAGTAAAATTACAGATTTCACCCCTTTTGGCATCCCTTCTCCCAGCCCCCACCCCTCCCCCCACGCTCCCTCAAAGAACAGCGTACAATCATTTCCACTGCATTTTTATCCGACAAAACGCTATTTTGCAGTTTTAGTAGTTTTAAAATGTCAGAATATCACCATTGACCCCACCCTCCCCCTCACAAAATATGAGGAGAAGAACTGAGTCGGCAGAGGAAACGCAAGCGTCGAGCACTTTGTTATTTCGTTGAATATCTGCTACTGCTTGGATGGCAAAATGACAGAAAATAGAGGATTTTTCCGTTTAGCTGCTGTATGCATGGGGCTCATTGATGACTTGACAACAAAAGTGGCCAACATGTGGAGACCTTTTTTCCGGCTGCTTATCTTCCAGCCCCCGCGCGCGACCTTGGTTTTCAGCCCCTTGATCCCCCAGCCCCCGCGCGCCATATTCTGCGATCCCGTCTCCTCTGTTATCAGTTGCGACTCGACATCCCATGATGATTTGTCGCTCATTTGCCGCGCGGCGATTATTCTTATGTTATTTTACTCTGAAGGAACCATGAACACTGGATTCGCGATCAGTGTGGTGTGAATTGTGCGAGCTTAATCGCT